AGCTGCTGATGCTGGAGGGCTTACCAATTTTTCTAAAGAGATAGAATGGAGAAGAGAAAGCAAAAAAAAAAAGTACACGAATAAGATACAAGGTAGCAGAGACATTTGAAGGACTTGGAAGGAGATACAAGAAGTTACCTAGATCAGTACTGAAGTGGCATTTACAGTCCTGTGTAAAAGTAATGCAAATTCACTTCACCCAAAGACATGCTACACTTAAAAGCAATTAGCTTGTTTTCAAAAGAATATTTGATATTTACTCTCACCTACACACACACAGCAGTATCGCTTAATCTAACCTCTTTAGAGAATGATTGTTTCATACAGCTGGTTGCTTTAACTGATGACAGCATATAAACAAACAGCAAGTGACTTTGCAAAGATCAAGTGTTAGTTACGTTAAAGGCACAAGCTACTTCAAAACCTAGCCAAAAGAAATGTTAAAAAAAAAAAAAAGGGTTCCCCCCCCCCCACTCACCTAAGCCTAAAGAAGCTGCATATTGTTGACTCAGTAAAGAGCTGGCAGCAAGCTGGCTGTAGGGTGGCATACCTCTGAAGGGACTGTAAGGCACATGTGGCTGGAAAGATGATGTAGAAGCAGAGCCCAATGATGACTGCATAAACAAGATACAGCGTAAGTACATTGCCACAGTCCTGCCAAACAACTCCAAACATTTGCATATTCTGCTTCCAATTCTCGTTGTATTACAGTTAGTTTTCAACTACTGAAATTGTCTCAGCAATTTTTAAATGTCATTATCTGTCAAATAATTGAAGTAAAACTCCTGAAAATGAATGACAACTTCCTCATTACAGTTTTTCTGCATCATCTCAGCTAGGTAAGAGTCCTGTCAGTTTGTGAGGCTTTTAATATTGCAGTCATAACAAAGTTTCACAGATAACTGTCTCCATCTGAAACAAGTAAATTCTTGCCCTGCCTTTGCCCATCTGTAAAAGCAGGTCTATGATCAAGCCTATCTGTTTTAGGTCAAGTTTTGAGCTGGCAGCATTTCAGAATGAAGGTGCTTACTTGGACAATGGCAGGATCTTGTGGCAGAGTGTGTTGAGCTTTTGGAGGTTCACACACTGTGATATCTTTGATGTCACTTCCCCGGAAAATAATGTATTCATATATCTCCTCTCTTGGAGGTGCAGGTCTATCTGTGGGCCGATCTTCAGTACCAAAGGACCGCACTTCAGCATTTGAGAGAAAGCAGTAAGTATTAGTTCTTAATGTTCCAAAACATTTTTGCAAGATACAAGTTGAAGTCAAGCTATTATACCTAAAAAAGTAGCTCTAAAATAGTTTCCCCCATATCTTACAAAGGAAAACAATTTTTCTAACTACTAACTCCTATCACCATGCATCCTATTTCTCCAGGAACCTCTCCCTTACTGCAGCCTAGAACAGATGTCCCCAACTTGCTTTAAACTTAATGCCAAGGACTTTAGGATTGGGGGGTGCCTGCTTTAAAGTGGAGGGCTCCCTCAAAGAACACAGTACTATCAGGTCAAAAAGCAGGGGAGACTCTAAACCCCATCTGACAGTTGCAGCTGTGGCAGTAGGGAACAAGGAAAGCAAGTTTCACATATGAAGACTCCAGTTAATTTAAAAATTAAAGTTCTGTTTTTCAGGAAAAATTAGCTTTGGAGTTCAGAAGTATAACAGATAAGGTGAGGTGCAAACTAATTAATGCAACTTAACCCTCCCCTTTACATACTCAGTGACTTTTGCTTATATTAACTTGAACATCTTCACAGCTACACTGAATGGAGTTCTAGATTTGTTTCTAGGAACAGAGTATGGATTCACTAGTATTTATTGTTTACACTAATCTAGTTCATTCTCCCCAAATTCTAGTGCAGGCAACCACATTTCATACAGCACTACTTGTCATTGACTAGAGGACCAACATATTAGTGCCCTATTACTCCAGTCCTCCCCAGTCTGCAAGCCTCACTTTGTGCTGGAATCTCCTGGAGAAAGAACCTACTTAACCCTGGTAAAATGGATTGTTAAGGCACATCAGATATTTACTAAGCAACAACAGGTCAGTCCCTAATGGGTCACATAGCAGAATGGATGTTTCACTGCACTGTACATTTCATTTGCTCTTACTAAAGATCAGAAAGGAGTCTCACTTTACCCAACTCCAGAGAACAAGTCTCTACCAATAATCCTTTATTTTATTTCAGTGCCCCTGTAACTGAACTTGTTACTACAGCCATTGTAAGTGCTAGAGACACATCTTAACCTTCTTAAAAGGTTAGTTGGACAAAACAGGGACAGTTATTGATCAGTATTACAACTTTGTTTTTTGTGTAGTGCTGTGAACGTTCTTTTCTTTGCATCTAGATCAGGGGTGTTGTTTTTAATGTGGCAGTACCTCTCATTGAGGACCACTGTTGCTACTACCTCAACTTCTCAGTGCTTCTCAACTGGATGTGGCTGTCTCCAGGTAGAAGTGCCCCATTCAGCAGCAGCACAGCCAGCCCAGGAAGAGCTATGGCATATGCATGCTCTCCTCCTGCATTAGACTCCAATCAGATTATAGCAGGTAGGAGCTGCCTCCTGTTGTGAAGCCCTTCCCAGGTTGCCTGTTTCCAGGAGGGGCCAGAACTGTTCCACACCAGTTTGAGAGGAACATGGGAGTGGCCAAACCAGGAAGGGCTGTACAACATGAGCCAGCTCCTGCCTGCTTTAGGCTGATCAGAGCCCTAATGCAGCAAGGCTGCACAGAGCAGTTTTACCTGGTTGCCACCACCACAGCATCTGTCAACACCCTGGTTCAGAACCCCAGATCTAGATGCCTTTGTGCTCCTAGACCCTTCCTCTACCTGGGTATAGACAGGCACAGAGATTATGGTCACTGATGTCTAGGCAGCGGATCAGATGCCCATACCAGAATTCAAATCAGATGTCTTTGATAGTATATCAAAAGGTTACCTATAGACCCTTCTGGGAGCAGATGGGCTGCTGACTGGAGACTTTACTCTTTTCTGACAGATCAACACAGTTGCAGGTAACTGCTCCTCTTTCAGGAAGAGCTCAAGAGTGGAGTTGCAGCCGAGAACCATTCCCTCACTCTGCTAATCACAGAAGCACAGGGTACGGCATGTACAGTGTGCAAGACTGAACTGTGATGCTACTCAGCACTTGAACCTGCACCTCCCTGAAACTGGAGCACATTTGACAGCAAGCCTGCCAAAGTTCAAGTAAGACCAGATTGAGGTGACAGTAAGTTGGGGAAATTTTAACATACCAAACCCTTTAAGTAACTGCATCTCAAATTAGTTGTTAGGGCATTCAACTACAGAGTTGCTTTAAATCCTGCCCTCCTATTTGATCGTATTACAGCAGCAGTCAGCTTAACACTTGCTTCTAAAGTGGAGGCTGTAACCATTCCCAATATGGATACTGGTAGCTAGCCAAGCTTTTGTTATCTTCAAGACTAGACTACCCCAAGCACACCTACATGAGGCTATACTACCCCGCCAAGCCATTAAGAGACTGTAGCTCATACAAAGCCATATCCTTATTGATCAGAGCATCTGAAACCTGCCCCAGTTCCTCCTGGAAAGTAGCTTCAGTTATGAGCTACAGAAGTTCTCATTTGTTCAGAGCCAGCCTACCTAAAGAACTGCCTCTCAAAGACACTGTCCCACCTGTCAATTCACAGCAGCTCTAAAGTTGAACCCAGGGAGTGGGGGAGAAGAGGGTACACAACACATTTACCTCTGGGAAGACCCCAGAAGTCTAGGCACTTGCTATCCCCATTCTAAAACGAAGTTTAAGAAGTTTAGTAACCTTGTAGACACTGAAAACCATCCATTTGCTTGTTTTGGGAAAAAACACTAAGTCACAGGAACAGAACAGTCCCAAGCAAGAAAGGTGGAAAGGAGTTTCTGCAACATTTTAACGTGCTAGGGTCTAAAGCCCTGGATAACCATCTTATTGACAGTAATAGTGTTAGATCAGACCTACTAGCACTTCCTCTTAGCCATCTGTACTTAAAGATGTACACGCTACCAACAGTATTTCAAGAATTTAAAAGCATTTCAACTTGCTTATAACAGCAGAAGACATACTTAAAACTATTCTGCTGTTTCAGTTACAAAGATATGGTTCTCCATTTGAAGTATAACCAGATCTCAGGATCCAAAAGAGACCGTTTTGAGCATTAACATTCTCTTTTAGTTCAAAAGGGAAGAATATTTCTTAAATTATATTTTATAAGCAAAGTAAAATGAGTGTCCAGACATGCAAGAGTTACAGCAAATGAAAACCAATTTTTCACAAATGCCATCTTGCTGCATGGTTTACCAGTGTCCAACAACTGGAAGACAGAGCAACAAGTTTCTAAGCCAGGCACCTTGTACACAGTATTTTATCTTCTTCTAATTTAGGGCACAATAACACGTTTTACCAACAAAAATCCTGTGTGAGGTACACAATAGAAGTACTAGGTGGAAGGGCTATAGTGGCTTCCTTAAGCCACCATATTCCACCTTTATTGGAGCACTGCTCTGCCCGATGCTGTGTTGCTGCAGAAAGTGGCATCTGTTCTGATAATCTGGTCACAAGACTCTCTACATAAAAGCCACAGCTCTAATTTTCTAGCCCAGACAGACAAGCATGCATGTCTGCCCAACTGATTTTAACCTTTCTACCAGTTCCTTTATGTGATATCTCCTGCTCTGTACAAAGTGGTGCTTTGAGCACTTCTGAGCAGCCATATGTCCATGTATTTAGCCCGAATTAACCACTGTTATCCCTTGTCCACAATGGATATTGAACATTCACAGTCTTACAAATCTGATTAAGTAGCTTTCAAGCATTCAGGTTCATTCTACCTGTATATATGTCACCTGCACAGGAACTGCAGACCATAAGGATGCTTAGATCTTATGAATCCATCCTAAAATGAGGACCTTAAGTTTTAGTAACACAAGGATTAGGGTTCAAGACAAATGGGCGTCTTATTTTGGCAGTCCTCTTTCAGGGAGAAAAGTCTGAAAGATACAATAGTAGCCTGAGGCTACCAAAACACCAGCCATTGCCCTGGCAAGGTAAGAAAAAAAAAAAAAAGGGCAAAATCTGCAGGTATCAGAACAAAGAGGAAGCTTAAGATCGCACTTTGGGGGGGGGGAGGGGCACATTAAGCTAGGAGGCTAGGAAGAAAGGATGGACAGAGCAACCAATTGTTAAAACAGCAACACTGATCCCAACACTTACTTGAATTCCAGTCCTGGCTGCCATGTTTACTATGACTCAAGCCAAAGGATAACTGAAATTTGATCACATGAGCAGTAGCTGAAACCAAACTGTAGGCTTAAGTCGAGGGTCAAGATCAATAGGGCCCCTATTACACATTATGAATTAGGCAATTCACTAGTTAATCATACAATAAGATTTAGGCAAGCCACATGTGCAATGAAATCACCACACAATAAAGAATGGCTATCCAGCTAGAAAAAGAACCAGCCAGCTATAAAGTTGGTGCTTAAAAGTGTAACAACTCTAGAGCTGGTTTCCGTCCAGCTTTCATTTGAATGCATTTCAGGCCCTATGGCTTGGGGTCCAGGCACAGGCAGGAAGGCAGAAAACCTGTCTCTGCACTTCCTGAAGCAGCCCAGGCAGGATCCTTCCCATCTTGGGTGGCTCTAGAAGACCGTGGACAAGGCACAGACCACCGTAATCATCCATTTGTAGCATTTAAGAGAAAGAGGTGAGACTAGGGGGACAAAGGGAGGGAGGTCCCACAGCCACATCCCACTCTCAGTACACCCTGTTCAACTCAGGCCATACAACAATGACTGGCCTGAGCAGTTCAGGGCCAAGCAAAGGTCTCATGTTGCAGCAAGGGAATTAGATATCAGGTATTTGGAGAGAAAAAACAAACAAACCTCACTAGGAGGATAGTAAAACACTGGAACAGGCTACCCAAAATGGTTGTAGACTCTCCATCCTCGGCAGTTCAAACAAAGCCTTGGATGAGACGATATAACAGGGGTGCTCTGAGCATGACATTGGACTAGACCTCCAAAGGTCCCTTCGCCAGCCTCTCTCTAGGACAGGCCAGAGCTGCAGCGCCCAGCACAGCTCCAGAGAGGGGCATTAGGACTGGGATAAAGCCATGCATGCAGGGGAGCGCCCCAAGCCACATGGGGGGGATGGACCGCTGCGCTGGCTGGAGCAACTCCCCCCTGCGCCACGGAGCCACACGCTGAATCACCGTAAAGAGGCCCAGCTCCTGCCAGCTCCACTCCCCACCCCCTCAGGTGCAGCTGCAGCCTGAGGCACTGCTGGATCCACACCCCCTCTCCCCCCCACAGCTGCTGCCAGGCTCATTGTTCAGCCCAGGCAGCAGGAGGGAGCATCCCCCAGCAGCACCAAGGGGGAGGGGGGGCACTTCCCTCACCCAGAGATGGGAGCTCCCAGCCCCTCTATCTGGGCTGTGCTTGGGGGGGGGGAAACCCAACCCCCCTTGCAGAATCACTCACCCACCCGACTCGCTGTGCAGACTAGACCCCCCCACTGTCCAGACTGCCCCTTTGCACCACCTCACAGCCCAAGCACCCCCCCATACACACACACAGTCTAGGCCCCCTGCACATAGCAACCCCTGCCCCCACACACCCTTGGCCAGCGCCACGGTGGAGTTCTCCGTGTCGATGGTGTAAAGGATGCCTTCGTAGCGGATCTGCGCCTTGGAGATGAGGCTGATCTTGCTGCCGATGTAAGGGGTGCCCGAGCTCATGGCGCCGCCGAGCCAGGCCCGGCCGCGAGGCCCGGCCACCGACAACAACAACGGGCTCGCGCCGCCGCCACAGGCCCGGAGCAAGGCGCAGGCCACTCAGGGGGGGCGGGGGGGAACCGCTGCAGCGCCCGGCCCGGCCCAAGATCCCCCGGTCGCCACAGCTACCACCGCCGCCTCCCACGCACTCGCCCACTGCGGAGCGGGCAGCGCCGCCGCTCGCTCCTTATATAGGTCGCAGCCGCCGGGAGAGGGAGGGGCAGTGCCGCGAGCCCGCGCATGCGCCTGGGGCGGCGCTGGCCAGACCGAGGCTGCGGGCGGGGTCACGTGACCTACGTGCCACGTGCGCCTGCTCCCTGCGCTGCAGGCCGGGCTGGGTTGACCCTTCCCCTCCCCCACACCCACAGTCTGCAAGCAGTTGCCCTCAAGTCCTGAGGGGAGAGTGGGATCAGGTCTCCCCTGCAGGCCTGAGGGCCAGGAGCACCTCCCCCTCTGCCAGAAGCGGAGGTGCTCATCTGGCCGGCTTGCCCTGCAGCCAGGTGTCTCTGGGAAAACCGCTGCACCAGCCAGGCGGGCTGATGGTGCTGGAGGGCATTTAGGTTTCAGGGACTCCAGCTGAAGGGCCTCGCAAGACAAGGGGCCTGTAAATAAGAAGAAAAAAAAAAAAAAAACCTGGAC